TTCGTGTTTGGCCTGCAGGCTTTCTAACTTGGTGCCACTAGCAGGATCCTGTGCTTAGTAAACAACCCACACAGACTCCAGGAAGTAGCGTTTCTACATCCAACCTCCCCCAGGGTCATCCTGAGAGGAAGGACAAGTTTGGGTTGTGCAGCTTTCAAGCATGCACATGATTCTCCAAATGAACAAACGTGACAGGTGCACAGCAGGTGGGGTACTGAGGTGGAGACTGGCAGGTGCACAGCAGGTGGGGTGTTGAGGTGGAGACTGGCAGGTGCACAGCAGGTGGGGTGTTGAGGTGGAGACTGGCAGGTGCACAGCAGGTGGGGTGTTGAGGTGGAGACTGGCAGGTGTGCAGCAGATGGGGTGTTGAGGTGGAGACTGGCAGGTGCAGAGTAGCTGGGGTGTTGAGGTGGAGACTGGCAGGTGCACAGTAGGTGGGGTGTTGAGGTGGAGACTGGCAGGTGCACAGTAGGTGGGGTGTTGAGGTGGAGACTGGCAGGTGTGCAGCAGGTGGGACACTAGAGATGCAACCTGGAAGGTGGGGCTCCCCTTTGTACCTTCCATGGCCAGGCCTCTGAGTTCCAGATACCTCTGGCAGCTAGAACTATTAAGTTCCTCAGTGCTGCATTGAGCTGACAAAGTGATTCAAAGTCAAGAATGTATCCTGGATGTCCAGTGCGGGACACACAAGCTCTTTACAACTCAGCCAACATGGATGAGAGCACGATGGACCCAAGAGCTCATAAGTGAGATTAGAAAGAAAAGCCATTTTGTTACGAAAGTACTTCAAATCCATGCATAGTTTTTTTTTTTTCATGATTCACATTCTTCATGAACTCTTTAGCTACCTCTCCTAGGAACAGATCTGAAACAAGTAGTTGCACCAAAGTAAACCAGTCTTTCAATTCTACACTTTGAATTCCCTACATACTTCATTCTAATACGGTGGTCTACTTTACAGTTTGTGATACAAACTGATCTATAAAATTTCATCTAACCACATGTGTTATCAGGAGGTTAATGCAGTGACGCTCAGGTTTTACAAATCATCACATTTTACAGATAACAAGGAATGGATCCGTTGTGATGATTTTCTTCTGCATCTGTAGCTGCAGCAACAGCAAGAGAGGGGAACTAGGCAGGGAGAGGGGAGGGTGAGTGTCAGAGCCCCTCTACTCCCTGGGTCCATACCAGAGCTTAGTCCAACTCTGAGCATCGTATGGGCTTTTCCAAAGTTGCCATCTGACAGAAATGCTCAGGGAGTCAAACAAGGAGTTCACAAGTCACACTTCCAGCTTGGAAATTGAAAGTGGTTGGACCGCACCAGCGTACATCAGCCTGTTAATATTGGCTTCAACCTTCTTCTCTACATCTTGGTGTCCCTACCCACCATTTCAATGTCACTTTGTTTCTTAATATGCATGATAAAAAAACTGTTCCTTTCTGAGTTACACTAAAATATATCAGTGCTGATGAATAATGCTTCCAGGGAAGATTGTATGTGCAAGGAAAAAGTAATCAGGCTCAAGGCCCCTGCTGCCATGTATCACTATGAGATATACATCCTGTTACCACAGTGGACCTTCCCATGTCTCCAGCAAGCCATCTCGCACTGTGTGGAGTGCAGAAGTTCTGACAGGGGCACTTGCGCAACTGGAGAATCAAGAACCTAGAAAACTTGAGGGACCTGTCCAAAGTTATGTAGCTCATTGTACAGGTTAGAAGGGAAAAGGAAGCAGATCAGCAGAAGAAACAAGTGGATGTAACAGGAATGTGAAACCACTTATCCTGCATCCAAATCTCAGAGCATGAGAAGTGCGTGGATCAAATGCAAGATGGCACAGGACCTATGCATTTCATGGACTTTGAAATCTCTACTATTGGAGAAGCTCAAAACAAAAATATGGTGAAAATGTATATTTGCAAATATTTTTCATAAAGGAGTTACTGTGAAAGCTTTTAGATTTCAACAAAATTAAGAATGTAACCTCTAAGCTTGAATCATTCATGCAAAAAAATATTACACCTCTATAAGTGATTGCAAAATGATTAGGCACAAAATTTCACATGATTAGAATATGTTTCCCCAAACATAATTTTATCCAATGGGCCAAAATGACAATGTCCATGGTAAAGTTGTATTAACAAGTATAAATGAGTATTTCACATAAAGAAGTATTTAAGACATATTATATAAGATATACATGTATCAAGACATCAGATTAAATGTCCGTTGTTCTGTGCAATTACTACACACAAACTAAAATAAGTAAAATGTAGACTGTGATCATTTGTGCAGCTTAAGCCATGAGCCTTCCACAGTGAGCCTTGCATGGTAATTTGAGAATGAAGGATAGGACCTGATTTAAATTCACCCACAAAACTGTGAAAGAAACGCTCTCCCTGCAAAGAGTTCCACTCCACATAAACTTCACACCTTCCCTGACTCAGTGCCCATGTGAAGAGCCCACCAGTGGATCAGAGAGTCAGGAAAAAGCTCCACATGATATGTGCACAGCCAAGTCAGTACCATGAGCCAGAAGATAACCTCTCCTCAAAGGTGCAATTCTAAATTATTTATTTTCTTTTCAAGGTTACCATATGAAGTTAATGTCCATTTTATATATATATATATAAAAAAAACAATGCTTTACTACACTGACCTTGCCAGAGAATGAATCATATTCAACCATTTTTGCAAGCATTCTTGCTATCTAAAAACACACACTGAAGAGTGTGTCTGCAGTTCAACAAAGCCTGTTTCAGATCTCCTGAAGTTATCAGTTGAGTTAATACGCATACGTTGCTGAAAAGTTATGGTTTGATGCATTTGTCACTCATGAAGAATGACTGGTGACTCATCAACGAAACGCTGGTTTACCATGGTTTACACATCCTGGTACCAGAAATGAGAGATCAATTCTTTTTCTTTTCCAGATGAGATGTTTCTAAAGATGCACACAACATATGTACACGTAACACACATGGGTAAATTATATGGAGTGGAAATCATAGCTACCATACTGCGTACTACTCTGTGAACCAAAAGCAATCATGAGACAAACACAGTAAGACTACGAAGTTTAAACTCACTAAACACAGAAAAAGTGCTGCCAAGGTGTGTTCAATAAATCTACACAAACACAGCAACACAGATCAGCAACATCATGCGCAAAATATATTTTTAAAGAGCTTAAGTAATTCTATTTAACCATAAACACCACAGAAGTCAAGCCCTGTGAAAGTGCAGCCAAAAAAAAAAAATCAAAGGCCATCTACGCTCTCAGGAATTTCTCACACAGAACAAGGCAGGCCTTTATTTAAATCAGAAAAACTACATCTACAGCACATACTTTGGAGACAATGTAATCCGTTCTCTTCCAAGGAAGAGCTGTCAACAAACCAAAGACCTGCCCAAGGAAGTAGCACCTGATGTTACTTTCTACCAAAAATGGCTAAAAATCTAGACCGTTTTCAGTCGTCAGAGGCTTAAAGGAATATACCGGATAAATCTAGGAAATACATACCAATGGTGATCACAGCGGAAGACTAGATTTAGAAATTCACGTACAAAGTGAAAAATCCTACAGAAAGCTACCTGTCAGAGAATAGTCAACACTCTTTTTTGACTCTTACACATGCCTAGCAATGAGAGAATGCCTGTGAAGTAGGTACTCCACACAGCAGGTAGTCAACCAACTGAATGGAATAAGTTACATCAACAGCAGACCATGCTCAGAAGGTTAGGGCATAGCCTGGAGAGCGTTCTCCCAAGCTGTGCCTTTGCCGTACAAAAGAACGAAAAATAAGCATTTTCTTAAAAAATTCCAGGATAACATGCACTGCACAACAAAATACATGACAACTTATTGAAGAGGAAATATTCCCGAGCCAGGTTTTCCATCTTACTCTGTCAGTTACCCATTGTTGGGAGATTAAACACACCTTCACGGGTCGTCCTGACTTTAACAAACCCGATAGCACCAACAGCGCACAGCGCCATAATCCTGACAAAACGCAACTTGTCCTGCTTCTTGTTGACTAAACCAAAGTCATGCTTGCGTATTCTGGGAGCAGGGGAAATAACCTCAAAGTTAAAGAAAACCCGGTCATGGGGTAACAAGATCTCTATAGTTAAAGCCCTATTGCTCCAGATTTCAGGTTTCCAATTTCAGCTGCAGGCTAAAAATTCATCTTGAATCATTTCATAAAAACTGCTGTCACTCATCACTCACATAGAACGTTAAATACCTATCATTTTCAAGACAGGAAGTACGGAATCATTTTATTCTGGACCACAAGAAAGTTGACTGTTACAAATAACATTAAAAAATAAGAAAGTCACTGCCCCACTTGCTAGGACTCTCAGGCTGTACCTTCAAGAAACTCAAACGTAGTCCTAAGCCTGATGAAAGCTATTGGTGCACAAAAGGCAAATTCAACTCGTGCAGCCAATTCCCCAGATGTTTCATTTTCAATAGCATTCTTCTGCACTAAGATTCCAGCACACTAGCTCATTCTGCCTTCGCCTTAACTATCTTGCCACTATTGAAGATGTATTTCTCTACATAAGTTCCAAGTCTTCTCATAACCTAAATACCGGACACTGCCTGCAATAACCAGATGACATGCTAACATGCTGGGGGGAAAAAACCAATGAGAAATTCATTTTTTAAACGTCCTGTGAAGGTAAGCAGTTTCAGAACATTCCACTGGCTAAGAGAGCTGTGCAGTCAAACACAAGAGTTCCACCAGAAGTGAAGGTTTTCCTATGCTATATCTAGCAATTCTGTGTAGGCTACCGAGCTCGAGACATTGGCCAGTTTATATCCTTGCCTAAAACACTTGTTCTCTTTTATTTTTTTCACTTTTTTTTTCTATCTATCACAGCACAAGAACAGGTGAATAATTTTCCAGGATATCAATATCCATAGTTTCTAACAAAGGCAGGTTTTTGCTCACAGAGCATACCATTCGGAGGCTGTGAATATTCTACTTACCTGTGGGTAACAAATAAGAAGGCAAGACAATAAAATATTTCTGTTTTTCAGTTCTTTTGCCAGCTCCCTAATCCACATCAGGCTTTCCAGTTTCTGACTGAGAGGTACCGCTTGACAATCAAGAAAGTACACCTGTAAAACACCAGGAGTGACAAAATATTATTCCCTTTAACATTCTCGAGGAGTGGGGTGGAGAAACATGAAAGAAAACTCAAATCATATTTACAATACTGCAATTATTTTTATTAACTTGCACTTATTTCTAGTCATGTTCTAACTCATAAATATTTATTGAACAAAGTCAGTGAAACCTTTATGAATGCAGACACAGTATCTGCAGTATTAAAAAAAACGTGGCACGCTGATATTATATTGCAGATTGGATCATAATCAAATAGGTACAAACCATATGATTTCATCAGTTTCTTCAGTGCAACTCATAATGTGTAGCTAAGTCTAGACATTTTAGTCCGATGATTAGCATGCTATGAAATGAGTGATCTAAATCAAAGTCAAGAGAAATGATTAAGCTTTCTGGAAGAATCCTTACAAAGTAGTTAATAATTGCCATGTGTAGCAATTATCTAGTCCTTAATGTAAATCCAGAAGTATGCAGAACATTTAAGCAGTAGTTTCTCAAAAACATTCAATTATTTCACAAGCATTATTTTCAACTACATTTCAAGGATCTCCTGTCTCCAAATTCTTGAGGATTTTATAATGTTGTTTCTTAACACAAATATTTAAATCATAAGGCCAGTGTTGTAGTGTAGCAGTTAAGCCACCACCAGCTCCAACTCGGGCATCCACTATGAGCACGGTTCCAGTCCCAGCTACCCCATTTCCTATCCTGTGAGAGAATCAGGTTTTTCTTTCACAACTGATAGCCAAATGTTTGGGATCCTGCCACCAACATGGGAAACTTAGATGGAGTAACAACTTTTGGCTTTGCCCTGGTCCAGCCATATGGGGAGTGAACCAGCAAATGGAAGAACTCTGTCTCTAACTCGGACTTTATATAAAGTCAAAAACAAAACAACAACCAAAAAAAAGCCCAGCTATTTAAGATATAAAATGTACACACAACATTAAAACTCAAGAACATAAGTAACCTGCTATTGTAACCAATTTAGGAAACTTAAGCATTAGATACTATCCATTGGTAAGTTTTCACTAGCCATAAGTATTTTAACACACCCCCAGCCTCCAACACTAATTCCACCCTACTTCCCTTTTCATAATAACAGGATCTGGATCTTACTCTGTTGCAATGGGGATTGAGGTATTTTTTTCTTCATAAAAATCGCTTTTACTTTTCCAAAGAAAACCGCTTACATAACATCTGTTTTAAAGAGAATTATACCAACTACTCTTTTTGGAACTCTTCAATTTACTTAATTGAAGCTCTAGATAAATATCTTTAATTGAATTCTGAGATCATATATTACAAAAAACCCAAGCCATACTAAACCAAAAGTATAGACAAAGGAAGAAAAATAATAATGTTTCTGAAAGGTGAGAAGCAGAGAGCAGGTGCAGGTACTTCTGTCCACTCCCGGCAGAAGAAGAGACTGCAGGATATTGACCTTGAGTTCCTGCTCACTCTGTTTCCCTGGAAACTAACAATGGTGGGAATTTAGCTGTTCCACTAAGTTACTGTAAAATGGTAAAACAGACAAGACCAAAACAAAAATCCAGGTTTAACAGAACACAGGGCACAGTAGCTTCCAGCATTCCTATTGCCTCGTAAGACATGGAGATAGAGTAACTGTGAGAGTCTGCACTGATTACCTGTGAGAGAGCAGAGTCTAGATTCTAGGAAAAGAACAAACGGGTAACAGCATTGGTGAGAAATCAGTAATTCAATGCTAAACATGACAAATTTCACAAATTAAGGGAAACAGTACATAAAAGTGAGTAATAAATCAACTAACTACTTATGCTTCCACAAACTGCTCTATTTCTAAGATGATACTCTATGCCATCCAACAGAGAGATAAAAAACACGAAGCAACAAGATATAAGAGAAATAACATAGGTCATTTTCTTGAAATACTATCAGTTTAAAAGAATTGTACAAGTTCATGAAATAAAGTTTAAAATACACAAAGAGGCCCGGTGCAATGGCTCATTGGCTAAATCTTTGCCTTGCAGGTGCTATAATCCCATTTGGGTGCTGGTTCACGTCGTGGCTGCTTCACTTCCCATCTAGCTTCCTGTTTGTGGCCTGGGAAAGATATAGAGAATGGCCCAAAGCCTTGGGATCCTGCACCCTCATGGGAGACCTGCAGGAGGCTCCTGGTTCCTGGCTTCAAATTGTTTCAGCTCCAGCCATTGTAGCCACTTGAGGAGTGAACCAACAGTTGGAATATCTTTCTCTCTGCCTCTCCTTTTCTCTGTAGATCTGCCTTTTCAAAGGACATGAATAAATCTTTTAAAAGATATTTAAAAATAAACCAAGATAAGCATCTTAACTTTATGAAATACATACCCAAGTTAACACAATGCAAGCATCAAGAAGTGGCATGTGTCTCAAAATTCATTTACCATTTGTAAAGGTTTGATGACATCACGAAAAACAGAAGACAATTGCAAGCAGATGTTTCTCTTACTATCGTGAAATTTGAGCATATACTTTAAATACTTGTACTGCTACTAATTTTAAACTTCTAAAACATAATAAGTTATAAATTCCAGGGCAAAATGCCATTTGGTAACAAAAAAAATACAATCAATATTTAATTTTTAAAAAGCATGGTTGATTTATAAAACCACAGCTTAGGGGTAGAAAATGACCATGCAAACTCAGGAGAAATGTAAATGTTTTACCCTAATAAACTGACTTCCAGCATGCACAGCCTTGTATCCACTGAAAAATTGCAAAATATTTTGTCTGGGCTGAGTTCTGCAGACTGGCTTACATATATATCAAGAAGGCAGTGTTTGATCTCTTTTTGTACTGGTCACTGGCTACATGGAAATCACAGCAAAACATTTCCCCAATTAGCATGAGATTTCTAACAGTTCTCACATATATATAAAGAAGATGAAGCTTATCCCTCTACCCTCCAAAAACTATGTCTAACTACACGCTAATGAGAGGCAGCGAACTGACTCATGTAAGGGAGTGGACTGCTTAAATGCAAAGCATGTGGACAGCTCCCCTGGGCCCATGGGTGGGCAAGGTTTCTGGACATCAGGGTCTGCAGTCTTCCCTGCGCTCCCTGGGCCTCCTGGCCTCCGCTTGGCAAGTGCTGTCGTTCTGTCTGGCAACCATTCAGTGCATGTCCACTGCCAGGGGAGTCCTAGGTGATTCTGTAGATGTGGCTGTGTGATAGTCACATCTCCGGAGAGCAGGTGCTCAGTGGACAGTAACTAATGAGGGAACACAATGGTCTCCACACCCCCGCAATGAACAGTCCTGCCCCATTCCAGAGTCCTGGGCACTGGAGAGTCAGAAAAAGGAATCGGGTTGATTTGAATTCAGGGGCAAATGCTCAAGTTGCTTATGTGGCTAAGAACAAAGCTACTTTGTGAAGCTTTGTCTGTACTCAAATAAGGAATTCCTGATTCCATCAAGAAAGGTGGTCAAAACAGAAAGTTTTGGTAATTGTCAAATACCTACATTAGGGATAAAGAGTAGACAGAGATTCCCTGAATCTGCACAATAAATCCTACAAAATGAACCCCGTGTGGGTACAGGAAAGTCAAGTGTGCAAATTACAGCCAACATCTTCAAAGCATCGCTTTTCAACAGAACTTACAAGATAACTCTAATAACTAAAGAAATTAAAGATCAAAACAGGAATTTATCTTAAGAACTAAAAAAGAAAATTAGAAAAACTTTCATCTCTCTTCAAATAGTTATGAATTATATGAAATCTATTAATGAAAATAATTAAATGTGCTTTTAAAAAGATCAATTGCTTAATATCAAACCACTTCATTAAAACAGAATGAGTTTAAATTAATGTCATCACAAAAGTCAACACATAGTTCTAACGAACAGAAAAATAATTACAACAATCAAGCAAAAGAAGAACTCATTTACAAGTCTTCACAAAATAGGATACCAGCAAAACTAGCAGGTTGAGAAATAATCGAAGTTCGCACAACACAGTAAATAATATTTTGCATTAAAACATCACCCACACAAAAGACTTAAATGTTCTTGTTGATGCAAAGAATTAAGTAAAAGAGTTTTATAATATCAGTACTGATGCTATATTTGTGCCTATATCTTATTTTAATTCTTTATTAACAATAGCAAAGAATAATAAAAGCAAAACTTTGGTATATGTTCAAAGTCTTTTAGGAAACTTAATATCACTTTAAAAACATTTTTTTAAAAATCAAAAAAATCAGGGCCTGGAGCAATAGTGTAGTGGTTAAAGTCCTCGCCTTGCAAGCCCGGGATCCCATATTGGCATCGGTTCTAATCCCAGCGGCTCCACTTCCCATCCAGCTCCCGGCTTGTGACCTGGGAAAGCAGTCGAGGACAGCCCAAAGTTTGGAACCCTGCACCTGTGTGGGAGACCTGGAAGAGCTCCTGGCTCCTGGCTTTGGATTGGCTCAGCTCCAGCCAATGCGGCCACTTGGGGAGTGAACCATCAGATGGAAGATCTTCCTCTCTGCCTCTCCTCCTCTCTGTGTATTTGCCTTTCAATTAAAAAAATAAATCTTTTTTTAAAAATAAAAAAAAAATAAGGGTAAGCATGATGGTTAAAAAGGCAAGCATCAGAATCCCACTAGGGTGTCAGTTCATGTGCCAGTTTTCCCACTCCCAATCCCACTCCCTGCTTGTGGCCTGGGAGGGCAGTGGAGCACAGCCCAAAGCCATGGGCCCCTGCACCCACATGAGACACGGGAAGAAGCTCCAAGCTCCCAACACCCGCCCCGCCCCGCCCCCCTCCCCCTCCCCACCCGCTCCCCACTGGATCAGCTCAGGTCTGGCTGTTGGACCATAGGAGGAATGAACCAGTAGAAGGAAGAACCCCGCCCCTCCCACTCACCTCTCCTTATCTCTGTAAATCTGCCTTTCAAATAAAAATAAATAAGCCATTCAAAAATAGACATTTTCAAACTCTCTCATGCAGAATTCTTTAAGATCACATTTAACCAATGTGACCGCA